ATTGTCACCAAGAGCAAAAGATGTTTGGTTTGCCAAGAAGTTTTTTTTGTAGTGAATCGAATTTAAATTTTGAAAAACACGAGAGGTTAACTGCAAAGTACTATGCAATGGTGGCAATTTAAAAAGAAAGATTATTATCAGATATTAGACATTGAGCATTCTGCAACTAATGAAACATGTTCAAAAATGCTGGGTAGCCGATATGTAATTGACTGGCTTGTATCTTAAATATTTGTGAAATGAAATAAAATACGTCCATTTCTTTCACCTTAATCCTTTATTGAAACTTAGAAATGATGTACGAAAAATAATATCAGACAAATGTCCGCCTCTAGAAGCCGCGTAAACCTGAGCCCTCTTGATTACATCTTCCATCACTTTTTAGTAGTAGTAGTAGTAGAAAGATTTATTTAGCACATTTGGCTACATAAACAGAATAATTGTAAACAACTTAGAACTAGTAAATTCTAGCCATATGGTGTATGATGTAAATGCTGGGCAACCTATAATTGTAGATTTAACAAGTGATTTCTCAATTTTACTTTATATTTTGTCAAAGTTTTCTGGTCTTTTATCTCCGAGTATAATTTATTATATTCAATCAACCCTTGATGGAATACAAATTTGTAGCATATGTTATACTTTTTGGTCATTAAATGGAAGTCATCTTTATTTCTGGTATTATGTAAATGATGGTCGTCATTTGATGATGTTAAATTAGTTAGACTTGATGGAAATATATTATTTTTTACTTTATAAATGAATATCATTACAAGATATTTGATAAAATTTTTTACATTGAGCCATTTCAATTTGCTAAGCATTTGCCTAATTGGAGTATATTTATCTTTATTTAGTATTATTCTCATGCACTTATTTTGTAAAATTTGCAGTCTTTCAAAAATGGAATTATTTGCTAAATATAGAATAGTCGAACAGTACAAGAAATTTGGAAGAATGATGGTATTATAGATAATTTTTCTGCTATATGAACTCAGACATCCAGAAACTCTCGATAAATATCCCACTTTACTACTAATCTTATTTATAACTTTTTCATAATGAATATCAAAAATTAATCGAGAGTCAACAAAAACCCCCAGGTATTTAAAATTTTCTACGAATTCAATATCTTCACCATCAATATTCAGTTGAACATTTGTACATTGTTTTTTTCCGATTAACAAGGCTTTCGTTTTACTTGCATTTAATTTTAGTCTGTTAGATGCTAACCATTTTGAGACAAGCTTCAAGTCTTCATTTATATAAGAGATACCAGACTGAATATTTTTAGTACTTATATAAATCATAGTGTCATCGGCGAAAATTTGAATTTTGCATTTTTTGACTATGGTAGGTAAATCATTTATGTATAAAATAAAAAGAAGTGGTCCCAGGATACTGCCCTGTGGAACACCCAACGTATTTTCAATTTTTGATGAAATAGTGTCATTAACTTTTGTAACTTGCATCCTTTTAGACAAATAATTTCTAAACCAATCTAAAACACTTCCTGTTATACCATATGCCTTCAATTTACCTAACAAAATATCTCTATCAATCGTTTCAAATGCCCTCTTCAAATCCAAAAATACTGCTATGACAACTTCTTCTGAGTCTATGGCTCTTCTCCAATTCTCAGTTACCAACTGGAAAGCTGTTTCTGTGGAATATTTTTTTCGAAAGCCTGCTTGCGCCTAGACTAAAATTTTGTTTTCTTCTATAAACTGCATTAATTGGTCATGTACTATGGACTCTAATAATTTTTCAATGTCTGGTAACACATTTACTGGTCTCATATCGCTGCATCTTTTAGAATTTTTTATTTTGGGAACTGGTGTTATTGTAGAGCATTTCAAATTTTCAGGGAAAGAACTGCTTCTCAGTGAACAATTGATCCAATTTAATACAGGATATCCCAAAATTTCAGCACGTTTTTAGTAGTCATTTCGGCACAGTTGTTATTTGATTTTAAACTGTTTACTTTTTTTCTTAGATAATTCAATGATACGCTGTGAAATTTTGAAAGTGTATGCAACATTTCCTGGAAACTGATTTTCATATAGTCAGGTGCAGCATTGGCAGTACCTACAATATCAACAATACTTTTCACAAAATATTCATTTAGTTTGTTTGCAATCACCAAAGAATTTGTTTCGGTACCGTTTTCGAATTGAACTTGATTTACACAATCATGCGGCTTCGAATTGATCAGTCTTTTTAAAGTCTTCCACATCTTTACACTGTCGCACTTGTTATTATCGATTTGTTTATCGTAGAATTTTCTTTTTTCTTCTCTAATTACATATACACATTTATTCCTAAGAGTTTTATATACATCCCAATCATCATTTGATTTTGTGAATATACATTTATTGTATTATTTGTCTCTCAAATTTTGAGCTGCCTTAATACTCTTGTTATACCAGGGTGTATTTTTTGTCGAGCAAATCACTTTTTTATCAGTTGCAAGATCTAAACAAGTTTTTATATTTCCTATTATGTTGTCATATATTTTTTCCATATTCTCACCAAAATTCCGATAGCAGCCAGCAAGTTCTCGTTCAAGTTTTTCGTACTTAATAGTATTTACGATTTTCTTAATTTTTGTATCAGAAAAATGCCCTACCAAGGGCAGCATTGTCCAACTGTGATCACTAACTTTAGGTGTATGTACAGCTTTGATGGCTGCACATTCTAAATTTACAATAACAAGATCTAACAAAGTCTCTGATAATGATGTTATTCTGGTACTCTCTTCAATGTTTTGCTTGAACCCATAGTTATTTATGGTTTCTTTCAATTTTCTTGTTTTCATACTTTTACCATAATAATTTAAATTAAAATCACCTAAAAGTATTATATTGTTTCTAAAATTCCACATTTCTTCGCATTTTTCTTCAAAAAACGTTAAAAATGTATCCGCATCACTGTTTGGTGAACGGTAAAAAGTACAAAGATCATAACGTTTCCCAAATAATTTCAACTGTATATGTGCATACCAGTATGCATAGTCTAAAGTGGTACAATCGAATAATGTGATCTGTATTTTGTGGTAAACATAAATCACTACACCTCCAGTATGTCTGGAGTTGGAGTTGCATCTGTAGGTTTTATAATTAGTAATTTGTAATTCACCATCAGTGATGTCTTCTGTAGCATGTGTTTCGGTAATACATAATACAAGTGGTTTTCTCCATCTTAAAAACTGTTGAACTTCATCTATATTATTCAGGACTCCTTGTATGTTTAAATGGTATATTGAGTTATATTCATCACTTACAGATTTACCTGTTTGTTCAAATTTCCGCTCCAAATGACGAATGATGTTGACACTAGGCACGTTATTTCGACTGATATCTTGTCGTAGATTCCGAATCGTTGCGACAATCGACTCATTGTAAGTAAAGCGTTTTAACAACGAACGCGTTGTGGGATCGTTGAGCGCTTCATGATGAATTGGACACATGTGCTTCAAACAACCACTACGGCGCCACCTACTGAAATGTGTGTATCGAAAATGGCGCGCAATCTAAATCGGTCAGTTATATATTGGCCACCCTGTAGAATCCATAATAATATTTTTTTGCACAGTGATATGAAAGTTTTAGATCAGGGGCGGATCAAGAAAATCTTTGTGGGGGGAGGTTCATATGATGAATTTGAAATTCAAAAAGTGTTGAGGGAGAGGTAGGGTTACCAGATGGGCAACATTTCAGAAAGTCGCGATCTTAGGATTATAGTCTGGGCAAATAGATATTACGAATTTAAGAGTTACTTTTTATTGTTACAATTATTACAACAAAGCCGTTTTTTTGGCAGTTATGATATTACAGACTTAGTTTTAAGTTTCCGAAATTTTAGATTTGGAATTTGTCATTTCTTGGGAGAAATTGCATTTTCCCGGACTCTGGACATTGTATGAAATGTCGGGACAGTTCCTACCATCGGCGATTGCAAGTTGAAGATTCAAACTTTGAAGGCGAAGGGGGAGGTCGTCTGTAAATTGATTGACATGTGCGAAAGGAGGAGGGTTAATAAGGCCTGTGTTCGGCCTAAATTTAATTTGGATTAAAATGTTTAAAATCAGTTCCTGTCATATCTACTAAAAAACTAAGACCACCCCACCCTAAACGGAACACCCTCTCCCCTTAATACCCCCCAACCCCCCATTAAAATAGCGAAAATACGATCCGCCTAGTAATAGGATTATTCAAAACATCCGTCACGTTTTGCCTTTTTACTTCCTTTTGTTAGGCTACAAAGGGTTCCTGGATAAATGACGCTTTTGGTGACGCAGCTACAAAACAAAGCTGGACGAGTGAGACTGGTGGTTCTCCACAATGCCTTCTCACTAAAAGGACGCAGATATTGAACAAACTTCTTCAGGACATGCACGTGGTCCGATGGCAAAAAAAACTTACCGCTGAAGGTTAAACTACCATAAGAAAATGGACGAGGTAGCACCCAAACCAAAACAACTAAAAGTTAGTTACAAAATAAAGGGATGTGGAGGTTGTGAGTTTAATGTCCCAGAATCTGGTAACTGACCGAAACGTCTAACTCTATGAAGGAAAGCTAAATGACTGGCCTTGAAGAAGATATGTTCGATAGGAAAACAAATAACGGAGGAAAACCACAGAGTGGTTTGCTGATTGCCAATACGCGGTCCCTAGAAAACCAACTCTACGAGTGACCAACGATATTTTATGAGTTAGTTTGCTTGGTTCTGCCACTGTCTCATAGATGGCGCTAGCATCTCCAATGCCTTTTTGTCGCCTTTCTAATACGTACAATAATTGGGTATATTTAGGTATTGGATAACTTAAATTCATTTTTGTGTTCAGCTACTATCTCATAGATGGCGCTAGTATCTTTCAGATCCGTTCCTGGATGCGGGAAGACAGTATATGGTAGGCTATCTTCAGGTAGAATATGTTAATCGATGGTATAGCGTGGAAAATAGAGAACTCTTTTTTGCTTTTTGTTTCTTTAATTTGGGCATATAAAATATCACCTGAACAAAATGCCAATAATATTTAATGAAACAATTCGAAGAAAAAACAACGCTTACGTAATTACACTTATGACAAATTATTGGAGAATGGCGAAAGGTTAAAATTAAACAAATTGACGTTATACATGGTGATTCACAAGTTATGACCAAAAATGGAACATCATACACATGACCGCGTTTTAAGGGGGGTCTTCTATGTAGCATTTTTTTTCTCGAGTGCTTCATTAATAATATACGGGAGTTGAAGTTGAAAAATAAAAAACATTTTTGTGTAATATGTTCAAAACCGTCAACTGGAATAAACTAAACTTTGGTATGTGGATTTATCTAAGTACTGTTCACTTTCAAAAGCCTTTACTTAAAATTATCGTGCACCAGTGGCGGAGATACAGGGGATTAGTGGCATTATTTTTCCAAATAAAAATAGTACGCCACTGTTTTTTTAAACGCGCGATTTTTCGAATTACACTTTCAATTTTCTACAAATAATTACTGTTGTGTTTTTTCTAGAGTGCACTGTTTTCGTAAAAAACAGTGGGGTACTATTTTTATTTATCCTATGTATCTCCGCCATTGGTGTACGTCAAATTTAAGTAAAGACTTCTGAATGGTGGACAATACTTAGGTAAATCCACATATCAAATTTTAGTTTATTACAGTTGACGGTTATGAGGATATTAAAAAAATGTTTTTTATTTTTAAACTTCAAAACCCGGTATCTTTTTAATGAAGCATTAGAGGAAAAAATGTTACATAGAAAACCCCCCCTTAAAACGCGGTCATGTGTATGTTTCATTTTTGGTCACGACTTGTGAATTACCCTGTTGTATACAACTGTTCGTTCTTACCCGAAATAACAGAAAAATAGGTTCTACTATAAAACCTCAAAATGTTAATGGAGAACTCTAGAACAGGAACGTATTTAAACTTATGATAAATTCACGCTATGCAAGCAATAAACACAAATTTGAACAATCGTCATAAAGAACAGAATATGCCGGTTCTAAAATTTAAGATGTTAAGTGACATTCAACCGCTTGTTCACTAATTTGTGTCAATCGGGGCAAACTGTCTACTTCTTCTCGACTGGAGGAACGTATGCAAAATGCAGTTAAAGTGTTGGGGCCAGTCATTCTACCGGTACATCTAAAACAGACACAAATGCAAGGTCATTCCAAATTAATTTTTTTCAATTGTTTCTTAACTGTCTGTCTTTTTCTTATATATAGGGTTGGCCATATTCGACGAAAAGATGTGGCAACATTGTAACTTTTGACAGATATGACAGATCGAGTAATGACGTAGCGCGTTTGAAGCATCAGTCTAAGGAGATTTTTGCAATGGAGCAGTAGGTACACCTCACGCGAACGCTCTCAGATTGTTGAAATTTACATTCAACAAAACAAGTCAATTGTAAAAAGTCAACGTGCATGGAGAAAAATAAATAAAGTGAAAACTGCGCCTTCCGCGACTACATTGTATCGTTTGTATGAAAGATTTTCATCAGGTGAGGCACTTACTAATCCCAAGCGTCCAAATAGAAAGCGACCAAGGCGATCGGATGAAAATGTCGCACTCGTACGGACCAGTGATCAGAGGTCTCCAACAACATCTCAAACAGGTCGATCTGAGCAGTTGGGCATAAAACGAACCACTTTACGTCGCATATTGCATCATGATTTGCATTTGTTCCCATACAAAATTCAACTGACGCAAAACCTGTTACCAGCCGATAAGCCACGTCGATTGGAATGGGCCCAAAGAGTCATCGAAATGGCTGACAGTGACGATCATTTTTGGCAAAAAATCATCATGAGCGATGAATCTCATTTCATGTTAACCGGAGCCGTAAACAAACAAAATTGTCGGTTCTATGGTTCTGAAAATCATCAAATTATTCACGAGGTACCTCTTTGTGCTGGTATGGCCATTGGGCCGTTCATTTTCGAAGATGAAGCTGGCAAAGCGGTTACCGTCAATCAGGAGCGTTATCGCGATATGGTAACCAATTTTTTGTTGCCAATTGTTCGTGATAATGGTATAGATATAGAGCATTTCTGGTTTCAACAAGATGGCGCTCACCACACACAGCTCGAGCTACTATCGATTTTTTGAAACGATTGTTCCCTGGAAGTCTGATGTCAAAAAATGGTGATTTTGACAAGAGATATCGTTTTCAAAAAATGATGTTCACAAATCTCCTTGGACCCAAATAAATGATTTTTGAAATGAACAGTAAAAAATATGTTTTTTTCCTATAATTTAAAAGAAAAATGTCGAATATGGCCAACCCATTATGTTCTATACTGTGTCTGCGTTGTAATGCCTTAATGAGTGCTTTTCTATTATCATTTCATAGTATTAGAACTATACTCAGTGACATTAGAAGTGTTTCACCCAGAAAAAATAATTTCTTCCGCTTGTTTTTTTTTGCCAACATAAGGACTATATATTTATATTTTTACTTGTAAATAAAATTTCGTGAGAATGTTATCGTTTCATTCTTGATGTAAGACTTTCTCAATGCCAAAAAATCAAGTTGAAGAAATTATTTTTCCTGGATGTAACACTTCTAATGTCACTGAGTATATTTTGTCCTTATACTGATGTTCCTATAATATTTGTAATAGTCCTGGGAATAATACGAGGTCTGCGAATTAAGTGATGTAAGTGATGATACTGACAACGTAGCGTTCGATCCGGCAACACTAAAGCCGCCGGGCTTGGAGGGGCGATAGGGAAACATGTGATGGGATCCGCCTTCTGTACACGTTTGAACTCGCTCGAGTCATTTGGTCGTCCGAGGCGATTTTTTTGTGAAACAGTTTTTTCTAGTGTGTTCTAAAAATGAGCGACATTAATTTCAAGTAATGGTGTGCTATCAGATTTGGTCACAGTGCAACGGAAACTCTTGCTAAACTTCAGCAAATCTACGGAGACAGTGTTTTGTCAAGAATCCAGGTTTTTCGGTGGCTTAAGGCATTTTCAGAAGGGAGAGAGTCGACTGAAGATGAACCACGAAGTAGAAGATCTTCATCTTCAAGAACCGATAAATATATCGACAGAATCCGGGAACTAAGTGTCGCTTCACGATAATGCTCCTTGTCACACAGCAATGTCAATAAACCCATCCACTACTGAACGGGGCCGTAGCAAATGCTTGTTCCGGAAGTTGTTGTATCCAGTATACAACTTCTTACCGTTCAAGTGATTGTACATGCATTAAGGAATACCGCAGTACCGATTGCCGGGTGGCGGTACAAGTCCGCCAACGGGCCACTTTAGGTCTATTTATTCTCACTAACACGTAAAAAGAAGGTGGTAGACAAGGACCAGTCGACCGAGGCGGTACCACCCGCTAGCTTTTCTCAAAAGAAATTAATGATGATGGATCCCTCGAGCGCTAAGAACTCCGGACGTAAACTCACTCCACTCTCGGAATGTCCGGGTGGAGGGTAGGCTCGAGGAAACAACATCGAAGATAAAATTCGTTTTTCGAACATCTGCGGAATTAACAGCAACATTGATGCTGTTCATCACTACCTGCAATCCAATCGTCCCGCCGTGCTTTACTTGGCGGAGACAAAAATCTCAGAGTCTGCACCGATTAACCATCTTCACTTCCCAAACTACGAGGTGCACTCCAATCTGAGAAAGAACGGGGGAGTTGTGGCGTTTGTCCGCAGCAGTCTTTCCATGCTCCAGAGATGTTTCGACTCCAAAACATCACCCAAATTTATCTGCTGCCTTTATCGCTCTCCCTCGGACCATGACTGGGATGACCTACTCGAATACCTCGCCGTCCAGATCGACTTCCTGAACATCAATCATCCCGCTTCAGTAAAAACACTCCTGTGGCTCCGCAGCCTCCTTATTTGCCTGACTTGAATCCTTGTAATTTTTTCCGAAGTTGAAAACTCACATTTTGGGACAGTCAAAATAATTCTAACGGCTGAAACCGACCAGCTGAAGGCTATTCCAACATCGGACTTCCAGCACTGCTATCAGGAGTCGAAGAACCCTCTCCAGCGCTGTGTGGCTTCAGAGGGAAGTTATTTTGAGGGTGACAAAAGAAAATTGTAATTATATTTGATGAAAAAAATTAAAAATCAGTCTCTTCAGTATATAGACCTCGTATACTAATTCATTGATTGTTAAAAAAATTACCAGAAGCAGTTAAAACCATGGTTATTCCCGTGAATGGTAAATACCTTTAAAAGATGTTTCAATGAGTATTAAAAAGCTAAAAACCTGGCTTACGTTAACATTTGTCCGATACAGAAATCCTCGATATTGATGGGGGTGGTCTCATAATAAACTACACGGAGTATAGGACCTTTGTCACGAAGCAACATCACCTTCTGAGTGCTAACAGTGCCTTCTTGGATAGAAACAACAGGAGCTGGATAAAAAATACAATATTTCACCTATAATTTTATATGATGTAAGAAAACCTTCCTCCAAAAATGTATAAATATTAAGCTAACTTATATTTTAAACATACAGGGTGTCCTCAAAGTTGGGACTTTCCTTTACACGGCGTATGGATCTTGGAAAAATAATCACTTCTTTTTTTGGAAAAATATGTCAAATGCCAGAATTGATGACAGTAGCAGAAGTCATCGTGCGCCACTGCTTTGACGCGGTACCTTTTGATTACAGCGACGCTTGCCGACATTTCCCAAAGAAGTGCCGCATTTTTGCAGGCCTCCGCGTAATATCAGTGGCGTACGATAAGTTTCGCTACTGTCATCAATTTTGGTATTCTACTATAGGTCTTGAGATAACCAAGATGTCAGGCTCCGCTAAATCAATCGAACCTGAACAAACCTAACCGGGTCCTGCACCTCAATCAGATCAAACGTGAACAAGAACGATGCGGGTCTCCACTCAGTCCAGGCACTGGTCGCGTTTGTAAACAAAACCTTTACACATCGGTTCTGATAAAAGGACACACTCTTACAGCAACATCGGAGTTGTCCATATTATTGTACTTTATGGTGCTACCGAGGCTTCGCGAGTGCATGCAGATCGTTTTTTAAAGATGCTTTGGAAAACAGGATCGTAATTTTGAAGTTATTTTTGAATGCCTTGGACAATTTTACTTCGGAATAATCGTATAATGTGGGGCCCTAACATTCCAATGATAGGAGTAGCGTGAAAATATGGAAGTTAGCAACATGTTAAAATTAACATTCAAGCTTTGAGCGCGTGTCCAAACCGAACCATTCAACCTAGGACCCTGAAATTTTACAAAGCTTCATGCCTCTATAGGTACTCGATAAAAGAAATGAGCCCGATCTCGAAACTCAAAAATTGACATTATGCGGATTTTGTATGACATTATGTAGATTTTTTGACATTATGTAGGTTTTCTTATGAAATGTCACCTTTGAACTAGCTCACAGTCACTGAACTAGCGGCTCACTAGCGGCTACCTAGTGCACAAGTGGACATTTTACCCATTTTTTGACGATGTTCAATTAGAATATGTAAGTTTTTCCGAAAAATGTACGGGGGACAAATAATCTTCTCGCCAGGGGGTCTATCGTGTCAGTTTTGGTAGACGCAGAATCGCGTGATCAAAGTTGCATATTAGGTAACTAAAAAGTGATATTATATCGAGTTTTAATGACATTATGTAAGGTTTTCCTTGAAACTAGCTGTCATTCTCTTCATGTCCACTTGTAGTAGCAGTGCGTGTTGCCTAAACATCATGACACTTGAGCTATATGATTTGTCTCTGATGTGATGTAACATCTGAGTCATAGATGGCGCTAGCGAAGGCCATTTATAGCTTCTATGACTTGAACTATACTAAAGGTCGTTGTTGCATTCCTCCATAGGTGGCGCTCACAGCTAGTACACAAGTTCACATACCGATTTTTAAAGACAATGGGTGTTCTCAACGTTGAGACTTTACAGAGCGTAATGATCAGACAATAATAGGCATGTTTTTTTCGTAACATACATATATACCAAGTTTTAAGATAACTAAGATATTGGGTTCCAAAAAGCAATAAATGAGCCAGTACTACCCTGCCTCCCTCTCCTCCCACAATCATCTCCTACGTCAAAACGTATCATGTTGATGTACTAAGACTATGTGAGTCGGTATCGCAATCAGGCGTCGCGTAATGTCTGGGTTAACCTACTTTATAAACAAACCGTATTTTAAAAAATAAAATGGGTACATTCGTAAAGCAGTAGCATAGCTATCGATTTGATATGAGCGTCTTCAAAATGCTATTGATACTCCGCGAGTGTATGGTGCATCTGAAGTCACTTGAAATAGCATAAACACCTTTGGTCGGCGCGTCCTTTGTAATTTCATGACGTATCATAGGCGTGCGGCATTTATTTAGAACGATAATAATAATGTTTTTATATCACAATAAATGGATTTTACTATCTTCTTATTTTTTTGATTTGGGATAAAAAATACTTATATTGGGAGTTTAATTTATGTTGACTGAAAGTTAAGAAATGGAAAAATTACAGAATTCCAACGTTTGACATAGGCAAATATTTACATAGCAGGTAGGTATATAAAAAGGTATATAAAGACTTACATTATAGGTATTTATATATCATCCTCGCCTTCGGAGCTGTCGCTAGAGTCATCTTGTAGAGGAATTACAATGGGATTTACAGGAGGCAAAACACAATATTCATTTTCTTTTTCAATAATATGCCTAGAACACTGCTTCCATAGGTCTGTGGCAGCAATATGAGATACTGCATCTCTTATTGTGGCCAATAGCGATTCACTTAATTGAGGGGTCTGATTATGTTTTCTTACTTTTTTTTTAAAGCAGCCCAGACCAACTCAATCGGGTTAAAAATGCAGTAATAGGGAGGTAGACGTAATACTTCAGGGCCATTTTGCTGAAGCGGATTGTCAACAACATACTCTTTTTCAAATTTTTGTCTTTTAATAAGATCCAATAATATGGCTCTGGTTGATTTTTGTGGTATTTCCATTCCCTTATCCTTCATAAAATCAATAATGTCTTGTTTTTTTGTGCCTGTATTCGGAATTTTGTTTTTTTGTCGGGAATGGTATGGCGCATTGTCCATAATAATCACTGAATTTGGGGAAATGTTTGGTATTAACTGCTGCTCTATCCACTTTTCAAATAAGTCGGAGGTCATGTCCTCATGATAGTCGGCACATGATTCTTTGATATTTTTGGCAGATAACAGCAAGGCATTAGGTATAAATCCATTTTCACTGCCAGCATGGAGAATAATGATTCGTTTTCCACGGTTGCATGGTGCATTTAAAATGCACTTGTTGCTGTCGTCAACCCAGCCGTACTGCACAACATCATGGGTATCATACCACGTTTCATCCAGGTAAATCAGATTTCTTTTCTGCTCTCTATAGATTTTAACTTTATGCAAAAATTCTTGGCGCAATTCAACGATTCGAGACGACTCCATAATCACCATTCTTTTATCTAATTTTTTTGTATTGAAAACCACACAGTTTTACAATACAGTGCAGTGAGTCTAAGCATTTATAATTATAAAAATCTTCAGGATAATCTTTTAATTTATCCCGTATCATTTCCAACGTGGGCACCAAATTTTCTTTATAAAATCCGTATATTATACGACGAATATCTTCCTGAAAACCCACGTCTATTCTTTTTAATTTTTGCCCTATGCGCTTTCTGTGGAAGGAATGGTTGACTACATCTCCCCTTTTTATAACCCGATAAATGGTAGACCGACTGATTTTTGTCAGGATACAAATTCTGTTTAAAATTTGATTTTGCGAGGAATCTGGATTTTCGTTTTTCAGACAATCATACATATTTAGGATTACTCTTTGGTCTGTTCCTCTAAATCTTTATGAAAGAATTCTGCCTGCACAGGTTCATCAACCATCTCCTCGTGGCTTGGAGCATTTTCCCAAGGTCTCCAAAGAGCCATATTTAGGACACACAAGAACAATCAACACAACGATTAAATCAACAAGTAAACTGAGTATTCAAAAGTCAAAAACACACAAACTAATAAAATCTATGAAAAACACGGACAGACTAAAGAAAACACGTTTATTCACCGCTACACGTCACTGGCTAAACTGTTTCAATTTTCAGTAGCCACCTGCACTTGTTCCGAGCTCTGAAATACACGCTTTCTCATTGGCTATGTCCACGCATAGGCGTGCTTTACTCCACGTGGACCGGTGAAACTGCCTTTGATCTCTTATATGGGGGATATTTGCTGCGAAATTTGTCGATTTTTCGAGCAACAGAGCGTGTTAAATATAGATATATAAAACGCACCCGGTATTTCACAGTGTTTCAAGTGACTTCAGATAAAGTATACTCAGGACGTCGCCGTCGTCCTTAATGTTTCTTTCCATCAGAGCTGCATATCTGTATTTATATCGTGCAGAATCCGCCTGGCTAAGCACAGTTAAAGACCTAGACAGCCCCAAATGTTGCAAATTAAGGAAGGGGTAAGAAAAATACTTTTTTAATCGAACAAGCAATGTTTACAAACAAAAATTGTAATAGGGCAGTAATTGCAAATCCTTACCAAATGATTTTTTCTTTTTTAAGTCTTCGGTGTTGTTTCGCCTCAAATAAGCTTTGGTATTGAAAACGCATAGTTGACTCTGGAAAGGAAAGTCCCAACTTTCAGGGGACCCTGTATATCGATAAATATAATATAAAGGGTGACTTCGAAGTTGAGTCATTTATTTTAACAGTGAGTAGATCTGATCAAAAGAAATGTTTTTTCCTTTACCATTTTTCTGGTAAAATTAAATTAAAAAAGTTATAGCCCTTTGGAAGTTTGAGTACCGCCCTGTCTCAATCATAATATTATGTGCTCGTGTTTGGCAACAACGGATATAATCCGCCTTATCGGTTCATCGCATCGGAAACAAAAAAGCGAAAGAATTTGGAACGATGTTTTTACAATTATTTTATTCAGTTGTATACAGTCAGTGTCAGTCGGTAACGCGTGAGTGAATAGTGGTGTCTGTTGCGTGGCTCAAACGAAATAAAAAATGGCACATGTTTATGCGGATCGGTTTCCCAATCGAGTGGAACCAACCCCTCGTGCCTTTGTTAATGTAGTACAACGGGCTCGTGAATCAGGTGAATTAAGACCTCACAGGGGACGGCATGCCGGTGCTCCAAGACCTCACGATCAAATACAGGTCCGCACTGAAATACTTGTCGGGAGAATACTTTATAAAACAAGGTAAAATGTTTTTTTTTATTTTTACACACATATTTTGGTTTATCTTCCTTCTACAATCATTATCTGAAAATTAATGACTCAACTTCAAAGTCACCCTGTATAATAAATATAAAAGCTACCTATTACTTCAGAGCAACAATGTTGGTTTTGAAATATTTTGCCCCACTTTATGATACGATCTACTGTCCCGGTAAGCATGAATGTCCTTTCTCGATCAGAGGTCTAAAAATAAATTTGTTCAGTATGACTATTGCCAGGCAAATTCATATACACGAATTCTTACACCATATACTTTAAAATCGAAGTTTGTCGTGGTCTGAGTCTTATGTCCATCGGTTTTAGTATTTGTCGTTTGATTATCGTCCATTACTGCATCATTAGGAGGACGATGCTGGTTTTTTACAATGGAGTTTTCTCTTACACTTTCTTCTACCTGCATAGGTTGTTGAAGTTGGACGATACTTCTTTCCTGCACAAAAGTTACACATGTGAATGATTTCCAGCGATGGTGCTTGTCATGGGCGCACACAAGGGGGTCGGCAGGCCCCCAGCCCGGAGGACAAGAGACAAAACGACATGTTGAAATTCTAGTTATGCCTTCTTGTAGAGGCGAGAAAGTGGCAATGTTAATGTGCAATTTATTTTGAAATCCCACTACAAATAAAATTAGGAAAACGCTAAAACGATTTTGGGAAAATTCGGGTTTTTCCGTCTCTCTCCGAAAGTACTTTGAATTACGATATTTTTTCGATTTCCTAAATACACAACTTTGCCCCATATAAGCGGCTTCGTATCTCTTACAATCTCCGAGATCCCAATAGTGAATTTGAAACACCCTGTATACTCATACAGTTCTCCAATTACGAGACTAGCAAATTCCCATAGGTGGTATCTCGTTTCATCTCAGATAATTTTCTGGGTCGCCGAAATACAGTACATGGTTGACTATCTTCAGGTAGAATACGTTAATCAATGGTGCTACCAAAGATGCAACACCCCCTAAAGTCCTCAACTTCGATTTAAAGCCCATATACCCCGATAGCATGAAATATTCATTAAATATTTATACAATATCTTGGAGATATTTTAAATACAATATTTCTTTTATAATATTCATCAAATATTTACTTTTCAATCAATGGAAAATAATAAATTTTTATTATTTAGAAAATATTCATTAAATATTTTCGGCTACGGCGCATATGTGTGTGACCCCAAGCGACCAATGGCAGAATGGCAAGCCGACCTGAGCCGACCCGTTTGCCGGCATCCATTTTGCCTGTGAGTTTCACTATGTATTTTGTGGAAAAGGGTAAGTATTTCGATAATTACACAGCTAAATTTATCTGACTAGTAAACATTAATGTGCCAGTTGAGTATAAAGGTATTTACAAGACCATAAATAGCTAGCCTTGAAGTGTAACAGTTATTTGGAATTGGTGGATTTATCTGAGAATGGATACGAAAATTATATTCATATATTCATAACATCCCAATGAAAAGTCATATAATCGCAACTTAATCGAGATACATCAAAAATGCGTTTTTAAATATCTCAATTATTATTATTATTTTTGTCGATAGCTGTAACTATTTTAAAATTTTTAATTTAAACAGTGACGTTCCAAAATTTTAACAGTCAAAAATACTATATTTTTGTCCCTTGAATTATAATATAAAATCACAAAATGGTTATGTCTAAATTAGCCACCTTATTACTGCGAAAAACTCACATTTCAACAAAATCAATAAATAATTGGTCTATTTTTAAAAAGTTAGTCAAATGATCAATTTGTGCCCAAGATATCTAAAATAACATACCAAATTTTCTTTAAAATTAACCAAACCTCGAACTATTATAGGAAGAAAATGTGGAGTCCTGTTAGGTGCATTATAGAGCTGCTTTTCAGTTACCCAGTCGTGCTACTCGGAGTAACTCAGCAGTGCTCAGTACCAATACTGTGTTCCATTGGATTTTATATCCCCATAAATACGAGGGTGGTCCCAGAAGTACCCGACCCAACGAAGAAAACACAAACATTTTGTAAAAAATGTATTTATTTTTCAACATAATCTCCTTTGAGCTCTATACACTTTTCCCAGCGATGTTCAATAAGTTTTATGATAAGAGCTGTCTTGCTCTCAAAATAGCCATTAACTGCCGACATCACTTCTTCATCGTTGGAAAATCTTTGACCACTGAGCCATTTTTTCAAGTTTGGAAACAGAAAATAATCCAAGGGGGCTAAATCTGGTGAATAGGGTGCATGAGGTAGCAATTCAAACTTTAATTCGTTAATTTTGGCCATTGCAATAACGGATTTGTGAGCTGGTGCATTGTCTTGATGAAACAACACTTTCTTCTTAACCAAATGCGGCCGTTTTTGCTTGATTTCATCGCTCAAACGTTGCAATAAGTTCGCATAATACTCGCCGTTGATGGTTTTACCTTTTTCAAGATAGTCAATGAAAATTATCCCACGCGCATCCCAAAAGACCGACGCCATAACCTTGCCTGCAGATGAAACGGTCTTCGTCTTCTTTGGAGCTGTTTGTCCCTTTTGACTCCATTATTTTGATTGTGCTTTTGTTTCTGGTGTGAAGTAATGGACCCATGTTTCATCCATGGTTATGAAACGACGCAAAAATTCTGCTTTGTTGCTGTGAAACTTCGCTATACACTCGATTTAAACATCTTCACGACACTGTTTTTGCTCGATTGTGAGCAATCGCGGCACCCATCTTGCACACAGCTTTCTCATGTACAAATGTTCAGATAATATGCGATGAACCGCACTTTTTGAAATGCCTACTATGTCTGCTAGCTCGCGCACTTTCAGTCGACGATCATTCAGTACCGCTTTGTGAATTTTCTTCACCATTTCTGGAGTCGTCACCTCATTGGTCGACCACTGCGATGCTCGTCTCTGCTACCCAGTATTTTACTGTTGTAAAGGAAGGAGCAGACTCACCCGGAGTAGAATCCAGTTCAGCTTTTATATTGGTTGGGCTGAGGCCTTTGAAATAAAAGTATTGTACCACCAAGGATGACAAATTTTCTCCATTTTCACAAATTCATTGAAAACGTTCAGTATTGATGGCTGCCAAACAAATACTAAACAACGTGGTGTCTTCAAACTTGACACATATGCTTTATAGGTTGCATACTTTCTAATACAATGATATTTTTCAAACTATCGCCATCTCTAGGTCAGGCCGGGTACTTCTGGGACCACCCTCGTATACTGTAAAGCAGCTCATGTTCAATAATACTTCATAATTAGTAAGTTTATTTTTTTTCAGAAGAGTGGATTTGCAAGACGCAGGACAGGCTTAGAATGTTTTTTAATAATATTTTTCTAGCAAATTAAACCATTATATCTAGAATGAATTTTCTTCATAAACCCAATTTTGTAAAAGCATTCATATAGATTTTGCTTAACCAATGAAGAATTTTCTATAGTATGTATATACATATACTGAAAATATGCGATTGGACATTAATGAGCAGGGGGGCTGCATTGAAGAGGAGGGGTGGCAATGTCTGGCCGACCTTGATTCGCCCAGGGCCCCCCTGTATATCTGCCCTTGGTGTGTCGATACAAAGACTTCTTGTCGTGTTAGCTGTGGCGCACGGAGTGTTATACTAGTCTCTTCCGTTTTGGTAGCAGGGTAAGATACTTTAATTTCCGAAATAATTGAATTGGAACATGTCAGAATACTCACAGGTGTAACGGTTGCATTTTTAACAATGTTTGTGTTACTGCATCCCTGCATCGGTTGCGGTCCGACGTTTGGAAACCTGTTGCGTTCAACTGGGAAATGCCTTTGCTAAAAATATATGACCCATGCAAAACTGATTTTTGAAACTGTCAGTAAAATCTACGATGCCGTGGCTCTTAAATCGAACCCTACAAACGACACTGTAGGTTTATACTTTTCGATTTTGTATTTGAAAAACTTACCATATTCCTGGAGTTCGAAACTAGGTTTGTCGCCAATACTGGGGGCATAAAACTGCCCCTAGGCTGTTCTAAGTACTGGTGATGATTGTACATAGTGTAATAGTGAGCGTTTGGCCGAGGTGGAGGCATCATTCCTGGTGAATAATAATTATTCGACACCATACGGAAGTTTCCTTGCTGATACTTAAAAGTGGGATTCATTATTTTTCAAGACCTATACTCGTATTACTTGCAATTTATCAAAAACGGCAATAAGAATAATTTTCGTTATTTCCTTTCAAATTACGGAAAGCAAATCCCAGTACTACCAAAATGTAACTAAGTTGTGCTTTTGGTTTAAAAATGAAAGGCCCTTGACGTTTGTCATTTTCTGCTCCGTCCAGGGTTGCCATATTAGGACATTTTACGTCGCTTAAAGAATTTTTGGGGGATAAAAAATACTGGAGATTTTTTGGGGGAAAAATAAAATCGATATTTAACTATAAAAAACTGTCCACTGCTAAATAAAAATTTAATCTTTCTATAGCTATTCCTCTCCCCATGTCGCACCCATTTCCACAAAACATCTATGGTGACCCTACACTTTTATGTCAATTGTAGGTTGATGCATTCGTAGTGATATAACCCCGGCACGGGTATTACGTATTTTATAAAGTAGCATTTCCTCTGTTTTTTTAACATTAAGTAGGTTTTTATACAAGATGTTAACTTAGCACAAGCTGTTGTAGACTTGTTGTGAACTCGTTTTTTAGCTGTACGTGTTGCTTAAACGGCAGCGAGCAGCGTTCATAGCAAGCAACCTTGGAATGGACTGTATATTTTCACACTAATAACTACCCTTAGTCTGTAAGATGACACTTCGTCGGAAGAAAGAACTAAACGATTACTCGTCTCCACAAAATACATAACACTGACTCGTTTTGTAGATCCACGGACCTGCGATCCCCGAATGGCTAAGTGATAGCGAATGCGTGTATCGTTTTACGTTCATGCACAATAGTAGGTCAATAAACAAGTTGTTCTAAGAAGTCTGAAAAATAGTCTGAACTCCTTGGAAAAATATATTTTATTCTTTTATTTTAATCCCCTTCCCCAACCAACCTCTAACCCCCCACCCTGACTATGTACTTGATTATGATTTGGGGATTTTCTTTTAAAAAGTTGCTTTTATGCTTGTTTTGAGGGAATTCTGTATGGTCCATCTGGCAACGCCGACTCCGTCGTTTCCTGTCAGTGAGGAAAATATAGGTTATGGTTACATAAACAAATTAACAATCAAGAATGATTTTAACGCAAAACGTGCTAAATATCAGCATACTGAGAACGGCGTCTAATGTGACTGTAAATTCAAGCAAAAATTTTGCGACCAATAAAACTGCTGTAAACAAGTCTAAAGAATTGTATCGATATTTGGTGAGGCAGTGTGCAAAATTACCTGAAGGGGCCAACAAATATTATAGGTTTATGATAAAACAGGTGATACAATTTAGATTCATGTAGAACCAAGCGAAACATGGATGTTTTTTAGAGTTTCAAGCAACACGTTAACGAGAAAGATCCTGAGAGGATAGAGCAGATTATTAGAAGGGCTTATGAAGATGCAGACTGGATATTGAAGAAGGTACAATTTGACTATTAAAGTAAGATTGTGTCTCCATGAAAATCTTTATTTTAGTACTTAGACGGTGGCAATAAGAAGACATAACCATGTTTCAAGTCCCTCTAGCTACAAGTAGGGTATGCTTTTCCCCAATAACATTTTGGGAAGTGATTTCGCTGTACCACAACAGACCACACTTAGTGAATCGTAAGTTAGCTGCAGTATCACAGGTACTTTTGTTCAATGTAGATTTTCATTGCAAGGGCATAAATCATATCAGCAGCTTATTCACAAGACCTGCAATACTGTATGAACTACGCAGACTGAAAGAACTTAGCAGCAAATATTTAACTGAAGAATTTGTAAGAAGTATCATTGATTGCTTTGATAAGAATCTGAGTTTAGAAGCAGTATCTGATGCTGAGTTTGGCAACAAGTCAAATGGAGTGTATATATCAGTAAGGGTGCTTCTACCTCGCATGAGATCTTTAGAAAAAAGCCTGGAGGTTGTTATTTTAGACAAAGATACCAACAAGGCAGTATTTCATGCAGTAAGCGAAACAGGCAAAGTATGCTTGGCACCACCTTTTCAGTATGAGATTGAGTTATCAACAGGAGGAATTATGAGGTTGAATATTCAGAATTTTGAAGATGCAGATTCTGCCTCGGCTATGTGGCTTGCTGACAAGTTATTTCCTAAGCTGTTGCAGTGGTCTGAATGTGATATTGATCATAGAACTGTCACATCTTTGTCCCTTATACAAGCAGATGAATATTGCATGAAGTATGCTGAACTGAAGACCAAATATGCAGAGAAGCTGGTAGAGGTATATAACTTATTATTGCAACTCAAACATTTTCTATTCAAGCATATAGTTACTTTTAAACACTTATATGGGGTTGTCCAAAACGGATGCAGGGAAGTAAACGCATATTAAAACAAGAAAGATTGATATTTAAATCAAGTTGGGTACTTTATTTTGAAGGTTCATTTATACCATTTATGTATGAAGAATAGTATCGCTCAAATGTTCACCACGACTGGATTTACAGACGTCCACGCGATGGTCGAAATTTTCAATGACATTTTGCAACATGGTTAGTTCTATGGCATTTATCTCGGCAATGATGTTGTTTTTGAGTTCTTGGAGGGTGGCTAGTTTGTTGACGTAGACTTTGCTTTTCAAATATCCCCATAAAAAGAAGTCCAAGGGAATCAAATCGCACGATCTTGGTGGCCATGGCACATTTCCTCTGCGCGAAATCACGCGATCACCGAAGAAGGACTGCAATCGATGGATATTGACGTTGGTTGTGCGCCATGTTGCACCGTCTTGTTGGAAATAAACATCGTCCATATCCATTCCTTTAAGTTGCGGCAAAAAATAGTCCTCTATCATCACGTGTTATCGCTCAGAATTGACGGTAACGGCGTCCTCGGCCGCATTTTCGAAAAAGTAAGGTCCGATGATGCCTTTTGACCACAATGCACACCACAGAGTCACTTTTTGAGGATGCATCGGCTGCTCTTGATACTCACGGCGATTTTCGTTCGCCCAGATGCGGCAGTTTTGCTTGTTTACCGTCCCATTCAAAGTGAAATGCGCTTCGTCGCTGAACATGATTTTTGATGAAAAATTGGCATCAATTTGGCGGTGTTCAAGGAGCCAATCTGAGAACGTTCGGTGCGAAAAATGGTCGGCCCGACGCAGCTCTTGCGTCAATTGGATCTTGTAGGCGTCTACATTCAAGTCCTTGTGGAGAATGCGGAGCAAACTGATTCTCGAAATGCCCAATTCTTGGGATCGACGCGTTGTTGATTGTTTCGGATCCAGAGCCTGGCAGATTTGCCACAGAACCTGTTGCCTCGAATTTACGCACCAGACGACCGATGGTTGTTTCGTTTGTGCGGTGGTTGCGACCGAAATGTTCACGAAACGCGCGAAATGTATTTTTTATTTTTGCACCTTTTTTGTAGTGCTCTTGAATAACTTTAATGCGGTCTTCAATCGAATACGACTCCATAGCGATCAATGGTAAACATTCAACTAACAAAATGACATGTCGGTGACAGAAAACAAAGATGGCGTCTATGTCAAATTGACGTTTACTTTCCTGCGTCCCTATTGGACAACCCTTTAGATTCCTTTGGAATGTTTTAATAATAGTGAGAAGTATCACCACAAAACTGCAGAAAAGTTGGTGTTATCTCAAAACATTGAAAGATTTTCTTTTGTTTTGATTTTTCTCATTAACATTTGTTTTCTAAAAAAATTAAAATATCTGAAACTTCATTTAAGAATATTGAGTTTTGGGTTCCTTTGACGATTTTATGTGAACATTTTTTCTCCAAACCATTATCACAAGATTCAAATTTCATTAGATATTTTATTTGTTAGGATTGGCCAAAAAAGGCTGTAACGGACCCCCAAAAATACATATTTGAAGACTTGGCCATTGCAAGTTATCTCATATGCGTATGGAAAGACACACCAAAAAAAGAGATATGTTTTGTAGACTGTGGCTGTGGAAATGGACTGCTTGTGTATATTTTGAATCAAGAAGGATATTATGGATACGGCTATGATATTAGGAGGAGAGAAGTTTGGGATTTGTACACTGAAGATACTCCTCTGAAGGTTTGTATATTTAATACAAATAAAAGCTGAAATGCTTTCTTACTTCAGTGTATGACTATTTTTATACAGGGTGGTCCATAAGTCCTTTGAAATTTCAAATTTGAATAATATTTAACGGGTGAGTGTGAGCGGCGCGGGCGAGGTGGGGGCAGTATCTTCAGTGTCTGGGAATTCAGTCGCCATGGAGTGTTTCACTGGAGCGGATCGTGCTTTTTGTGTGCGCGCGTTTTATCAAAATAATGATTCGGCAACCATTGCGCGGCGTAAATATCGAGAATACCACAATTTACACAATTTTACAAAGTGTCCAACAGCTCAGACGATTAAGAACTGGGTTGCTAAGTTCGAAGAGACTGGTTCGACGTTAGATAAACAGCGGTGGGGTCGACCAAGGACAACTCGTATTGAAGAAAACATCAACATTGTGGCACAGTCTGTTCGTCAAAATCCTACCCAGTCTACTCGTAAGCGTTCCAGTGCACTAAACGTACCCAGAACATCTTTACAGCGGATTTTAAGGAAAGATTTACGTCTGCACGCTTACAAAATTCAGTTAGTGCAGGAATTAAAAGATAATGACGCTATTCAGAGACTAAACTTTGCGAATGAAATGTTGAATCGATTTTCTTCGCTCAATAATGTGTTGTTCTCGGACGAGGCTCACTTCCATTTAAACGGGCATGTAAATAAACAAAATTGCCGTTATTGGAGCCCCGAAAATCCAAGGCGTAAGCATCATAAGCCCTTACACAGCCCTAAAGTTACAGTTTGGGCTGCTATGTCAGCGCATGGCATCGTAGGCCCTTATTTTTTTGAGGACGACAGAGGTCGCACATTAACTGTTACTTCGGAGCGGTATGTAGCAATGATAAAAGAGTTTTTGACACCAGCGTTGCAGAATTTTCCAGGCTATAATACGCAGACCTGGTTTCAACAGGACGGAGCAACTGCCCACACCTCCAACACTTCTATGCCCGTCGTCTGTCAACTTTTTCCCAGCAAAGTAATTTCTCGAAGAGGAGACATTTCCTGGCCACCACGTAGTCCAGATTTGACCCCAATGGACTTCTTTTTATGGTGCTACCTCAAGAGTAAAGTGTACGACACCACTCCGCGATCAGTTGATGTCCTGAAAGAAAATATCCGAAGAGAAATGGCAAGCATTACAGTGTTGACTTGCCGCGCAGTCATCGACAATTTTAGACGTCGTTTATATGAGTGCCGTGATCGTAATGGATTGCATTTAGACGATATGATTTTAAAAACATAATTCCCATTCAATAAAGATGATAACAAAATATAATAATTCTTCATAATGTAACTAGTTTGGTTTTATTCCTTTTTTTCCAGCTCAAAGGACTTATGGGCCACCCTGTATAACCAGAAAGTTTAATTTTTTGTTTAGGAAACAGTATTCAACAATCATTTTATACAAGCTCAAATGTTCTTAGTATCTTTCTGTATAAACTTTAGTTTTTTGACATTTGATTGAAGCAAGTTAAAAAGCTTTTTGAGTGACTTGACAATGTCCGTGATAAACTTTTCACAAAGGAGCTTATGTCAAACATAATCCTTTATGAACTAATAACATTGCAAAGGATTAAAAGTCAACCTATACTTGTCACTGTTTTTTCATATACTTTGTATGATCATCAAATTCACAATATGATCTTACATTGATTTTAGGTAGGTTCTGTAACACCAGAATCTCGTTTTCCAGATGCAAACTGGATAATCGGTAACCATTCTGATGAACTGACTCCATGGATTCCACTGATTGCATTGAAGAGTTCTCCAAACACCAACTTTTTCCTCCTGCCATGTTGTCCATATGATTTCAATGGGCAGAAGTATGCTAGGACTAATACTGCACAGAGTCAATATTCTGAATACCTGCTTTATATACAAGATATTTGCAATAGGTATGGGATTGATACATGTTAACATTTATCGCAATAGGCGCCATTTATCATTACAATATCATAATTTAGAAACGCTCAAAAAGCACCTCGTAGCGGCCGCGGTGTCCTGGTATTTAGGCCTACGCGGAAAAATATCAAACTCGATTCCTTAACAATTCCAAGGATCTGAGTTATAACAGTGACTGAAGTATTCTCCTTGAAGATGGAAATGTGGCAGCATCGGTGGCCGCAGTAGTAGACTCTTCTGTCTCCTGATCAGTCGCCGTGCGCTGTGCGGGTTCGAGTCCCGTCCCAGGAGAAATTTTTCTCTTGGCTATGGATGTTGTGATTGTCTGTAGGTGGTGGACGGTCTCTGACTGTCGAACGCGGAGGTACCACCCGGCGGATCTCGTAGGCGGAGCCAGAATGTGTGCATGTTGCATGCACACATGTTCCCTCGCCAGAGTCCGTGTGGCGTTCCCCCTTTCCCATGTATCCCCTTATAGCCCCTAGGTACCCAATGGGTGCTTAGGACTTAGGCCTTCGTGGTAGTTCAAGTATAAAAAAAAAATCTACTTCGATATGAGTTAGATATCTTAGTTCTACCACCGTGTCATAGATGGCGTCAGAATCTTCTATGCCGTTTCGGCGTTTCTCTAATGCCTGTTTTGATTGGTTATTTTCAGTGGGAATACTTTAATCAGTGCCTGAAGACACCCAATTAAAATAGGCATTACAAAAGAGCTGAAAACGGATTGGAGATCCTAGTACTATCTATGGGAGTGTAGAAGAATGAAATACTTTCTTTTATAATGCCTGTTTTACATCAATAATTTCTTCACGAATTTATTCAGATTTAAGGTCATCCTGATTATGTTTTGCGGTGTTAACATCAATGGAGAAATTCATGGATTATCTGTCTGTACACAGTGCTGCTAACCTGACAACAAATTCTTGCTGGAAACATTTTTATGTGTATTGTAGTTTTGATTTTGAGGCGAATCTCATAAGCAGAAACGATATTGTTGAATACTATAGTTCTATCAAAGTTCTATGTTTGAAAAGTTGTTGAATATAATGGAAAGGAAAACAAGGTTGTCACCGTGGAATTTGACGTCCAACTTCGCAAAAATTAAAACCAGTTTTGACGTTAAATTCCTGTTTTGCACCTTTGAAATTTGGCCCTGAACTCAGTTCATGGAGAAATGCGTCAATTTATTGTCAATGTAACATAAAACGGGTGTAAGTAAATTCCTTTTTGTGTTCTGATAGTGTTTTTAAGATGTCAGTATCATCTTTGACATTAATTTTTGGGCGCCAGGATACATAATATGGTTGGCTACCTTCATGTATAATATTCATCAAACAGTCTCCAAAATGAACTGCCGGATTAGAGAATCAGTATGTTTTGTATGATTCTATAATTCGAAGCAATGTAACATTCTTTTCATAAGTAATTATTTTCTAGGTGCGGTTTTGATACAAAAATAGACAAACTCCGCATCCCCTCAACAAAAAGAACCTGTCTAATTGGCACTAGACCAACTCCTTCGGACTCGGAAACAATCAGGAACGTTGACAAGTATGTAAAATCTCGCATGACGCAGAAGTTTACTGTCAAAGTCAACGTGGAACCAGTAAGGAACTGTACACAACTAGACAAGCAGTTGCTTCAACGTTTAGTGAAACTTGTGGTTGATATCCTTCTAGAACAACAGAATTTTATGAAAAAGTCTGATGGTGAAACGTGGAATAAAGGCGGTTCCGTTACTATCAAAGATTTGTCTCAGAGAATGGATAAGGAAGATTTATTAGCGCTCAAAAGTCAGTGTGGGGGCTTGCAGACTTTGCTTAGGAACCATCGGTACCTATTTGAGATAGTTAATGGTGGAGTGCAGCTGAGAGAACCGTTAAAGTTGAATGAAGATACCAAAAAATATCGAGATAAACCTTGTTGGTTCCTGAAGAACCATCCAGATGGGTGTCTGTATGATGAACACTGTGCATATTTACATACATCACCTTGATATATAAATATTGAACATTTTTTAGCTACAGAGTCACACCAAAAGTTGTTGATTCTTGTTCATACCCAAATACTTGCTTGTACTTGATCTATAGTCACATCTGTGCTACTGTTACATGCTGGATTTCCCTATTCTGAGCAATATTTTACATACCAGGTCCTTCAAATTCAGTCGTCACCATTAGGATATCGGAAACCGCAAGAGATACGGAGTCGGTTGAATGGAAGCCAAGCTGCGCATTTTGATAACTAAGAAAATGACACTTAGAAAGCTTCGCAATTCAGAGTATTTCCGGAGATAAAAGTAGTAGTAGTAGAAAGATTTATTTAGCACATTTGGCTACATAAACAAAATAATTGTAAACAACTTAGAACTAGTAAATCAAGCCATATGGTGTATGATGTAAATGCTGGGCAACCTATAATTGTAGATTTAACAAGTGATTTCTCAATTTTACTTTAAATTTTGTCAAAGTTTTCTGGTCTTTTATCTGCGAGTATAATTTATTATATTCAATCAACCCTTGATGGAATACAGATTTGTAGCATATGTTATACTTTTTGGTGATTAAATGGAAGTCATCTTTATTTCTGGTATTATGTAAATGATGGTCGACATTTGATGATGTTAAATTAGTTAGACTTGATGAAAATATATTATTTTTTACTTTATAAATGAATATCATTACAAGATATTTGATAAAATTTTTTACATTGAGCCATTTTAATTTGCTAATTGGAGTATATTTATCTTTATTTAGTATTATTCTCATGCACTTATTTTGTAAAATTTGCAGTCTTTCAAAAATGGAATCATTTGCTAAATATAGAATAGTCCAACAGTACAAGAAATTTGGAAGAATGATGGTATTATAGATAATTTTTCTGCTATATGAACTCAGACATCAAGAAACTCTCGATAAATATCCCACTTTACTACTAATATTATTTATAACTTTTTCATAATGAATATCAAAAATTAATCGAGAGTCAACAAACAAAAACAAAATCTTCACCATCAATAGGTATTCAGTTGATCATTTGTACATTGTTTTTTCCGATTAACAAGGCTTTAGTTTTACTTGCATTTAATTTTAGTCTGTTAGATGCTAACCATTTTGAGACAAGCTTCAAGTCTTCATTTATATAAGAGATACCAGACTGAATATTTTTAGTACTTCTATAAATCATAGTGTCATCGGCGAAAATCTGAATTTTGCATACTTTTTGACTATGGCAGGTAAATCATTTATGTATAAAATAAAAAGAAGTGGTCCAGGATACTGCCCTGTGGAATACCCAATTTTCAATTTTTGATGAAATAGTGTCATTAACTTTTGTAACTTGCATCCTTTTAGACAATTAATTTCTAAACGAATCTTAAACACTTCCTGTTATACCATATGCCTTCAATTTACCTAACAAAATATATCTATCAATCATTTCAAATGCCCTCTTCAAATCCAAAAATACTGCTTCCGAGTCTATGGCTCTTCTCCAATTCTCAGTTACCAACTGGAAAGCTGTTTCTGTGGAATATTTTTTTCGAAAGCCTGCTTGCGCCTCCACTAAAATTTTGTTTTCTTCTATAAACTGCATTAATTGGTCATGCACTATGGACTCTAATAATTTTTCAATATCTGGTAACACATTTACTGGTCTCATATCGCTGCATCTTTTAGAATTTTTTATTTTGGGAACTGGTGTTATTGTAGAGCATTTCAAATTTTCAGGAAAATAACTGCTTCTCAGTGAACAATTGATCCAATTTAATACAGGATATCCCAAAATTTCGAAACAGTTTTTCAGCACGTTTTTAGTAGTGATTTCGGCACAGTTGTTATTTGATTTTAAACTGTTTACTTTTTTTCTTAGATAAGTCAGTGATACGCTGTGAAATTTTGAAAGTGTATGCAACATTTCCCCCTGGAAACTGATTTTCATATAGTCAGGTGCAGCATTGGCAGTACCCACAATATCAACAATACTTTCCACAAAATATTCATTTAGTTTGTTTGCAATCACCAAAGAATTTGTTTCGGTACCGTTTTCGAATTGAACTTGATTTACACAATCATGCGGCTTCGAATTGATCAGTCTTTTTAAAGTCTTCCACATCTTTACACTGTCGCACTTGTTATTATCGATTTTTTTATCGTAGAATTTCCTTTTTTCTTCTCTAATTACATATACACATTTATTCCTAAGAGTTTTATATACCTCCCAATCATCATTTGATTTTGTGAATATACATGTATTGTATTGTTTGTCTCTTAAATTTTGAGCTGCTTTAATATTCTTGTTATACCAGGATGTATTTTTTGTCGAGCAAATCACTTTTTTATCAGTTGCAAGATCTAAACAAGTTTTTATATTTCCTATTATGTTGTCATATATTTTTTCCATATTCTCACCAAAATTCCAATAGCAGCCAGCAAGTTCTCGTTCAAGTTTTTCGTACTTAATAGTATTTACGATTTTCTTAATTTTTGTATCAAAAACATGCCCTACCAAGGGCAGCATTGTCCAACTGTGATCGCTAACTTTAAGTGTATGTACAGCTTTAATCCGTGCACATTCGAAATTTACAATAACAAGATCTAACAAAGTCTCTGATAATAATGTTATTCTGGTACTCTCTTCAATTTTTTGCTTGAACCCATAGTTGTTTATGGTTTCTTTCAATTTTCTTGTTTTCAAGCTTTTACCATAATAATTTAAAATCACCTAAAAGTATTATATTGTTTCTAAAATTCCACATTTCTTCGCATTTTTCAAAGAAACCCGAATGTTCCCTAAATCGTTTTTCTTGGCTGTATTTGAGGTAAAATAAATTGGAAATCAACATTGCCACGGCACAGGTGGCATAACTAGAATTTCAATATGACGTTTTGTCTTTTACCCTCAGCAAGGATGTCATATTGTATTTTTGCACAGGTTAAAAAAACTGTTTAATTCTGATTCCAAAAATGTAAAATATGTCATACATTGACACTGTCAAACTAATATTTTAACGACTATTTATCTATCAACAATAACAGCGCTATTTCAGCACTACGCCGCCTCCGTGCTACATGACACCTCAGCCATAGGTTAATGTTATTTGAGATACAAGACATGTGTTTAGATATGACGGATATCAAATGTGTTGAGTAACCTGCAACACCATCGAAGCTCTTACTCCTGACTGTTTCTGTTGATATCTTAACATTATGCTGTTATCCATTCATTCATTACCACGAGGGCGGTTCAATAAGTACCCGTGTTAGAAATGAAGACACTATTTTTTCAAAAAAAAAAAATTATTATTTTTCAACATAGTCCCCTTTTAGAAAGATACGCTCTTTTCTCAACGTTCCTGCCATTTTTAACCCTTCTAAAAAATAGGATTTGTCGAACTCTCCAAAATACGCCTCTGTCTCGGCCTCTGATAGTTCGCGCACTTGCGTTCGTCGATCAGCGAGAATCATGTCGTGAACTTTTTGAATGATTTCCTCGGTAACGACGTCTGCCGGGCGTCCTGGTCGATCCTCATCAAAAACGGATGATCCCCACGTTTAAATTCGTTAAACCAATATCTAAGAGTGGTCATAGATGGCGAAGTGTCCCTCTTAACAGCATCCAATTTTGCTTTTATCTCCTCGCATTTTTTCCCATCCAAAAACAAAAGGCGAATTACCGAACGATACTGCTCTTTTTCATCACGAAATACCTGTTACTCGAATGGCTGTCAAATCCAAACTAACCTTTCAATCACTTTGAAATTTGTTGTGCCGTCGTTTCATAGATGGCAGCACATGACGATAACACGAACTTCCCTCAGGAACGTAAAAACAATATGAAAAATTTAGCTTTGTCTTGTTCGTCATCCTCTTAAGAACAAATATAGGAACAATACTTCCTTAGAAGTTTCTTGTAATATCAATCTATGTCATATGATATGTAACATATCACATTATTAAAATCGTAAATAGGTAATGTTAACGTATGCCTAGCTCATATAAACAGGAGGAATGCTTGGATAATTATATGAAACCAATGACTATAGCTTCAAGGCCTACTTAGAAAACACTATTTTTCATATAACTATAGTTTTAAAATATTAAACATATTATACAGATTTGTAATTAGAATCTATGTACTTGTGCAAACATCCAACATATCGTGCATAAGAAAAAAATAAACGAAATATTATATTGAAATTCTAATAATGCTACCTTGTAGAGGAGAAAAAGTGGAATTCCCTTTTCAAATAGGGTCAAGCAAACGATTTTGGGAATATTCATTTTTTTCTAATTGACAATTTTATATCAAAATAAGACAACGCAAAGTGCCCTCTACAGCACAGTCGGCCAACCGTGTACCGTGGTTCATGCTTTTTGGCAATCATCAACTCAGTCTAGGCTTGGTACGCAGTTGGTCTGTGGTTGGACAAAAGCAGTATTTTGAACATTACCTAAATGCCCAGCTTTGCCGCCATTTAACCGACATAGAATCTCTTACCGTTTTGGAAATTCCAATGGTGAGAGTCTGATTTCAAACATACGGTGCACTTTAGTAACATCCAATTTCAACGTTGTTGATTCATAGTGGAAAATTTGTATGAATATTTTTATCAGTAACATGTACACATTTTAGAAAATAAATATATTCATCAGAACATCAGTGTTTCAGTTATCGTAAGCTATATCTTCTCTTGTTGCAATACAGAAATCAAAGAGTTTATAGAGTGAATACATTCGTTCTATAGCTCTTCACTTTCCAGGAAGCATTATCATCATGAAGTGTCCAACCGAACGTCTATCAAACAAACCATTTTCTGCTTCAAAGGTCGTATTCGATTCAGCGCTCCAAATTACCTGAACGTAGCAATTTTCGTTCGTCTGTAACAATGATTCCCAAAGTGGTCTATATCGACCCCTAGGGGTCTATGACAACCTGCAAGGGGTCTACGTCAGCGAAAAAAAATTTGGGGGTCCATGAAATGAATATGGGGGTCCACGATAGTGGATCTCAACACATACACTGATAGTACCTATTTACTTACATCATACTATCTTATAATATCAAAACATATACATTATTTATAAAAGTACCTATGAACTAAAAAATTTATTATATATGTTTATAAAATTGTGTAAGTTGTAGGATGTTGGTATTCGCTTTGTGGTCGCAATACATTTTGAACTTGTAAAAACCTGAGAGTCGCAGTCTCAGAGCTTCGCTACCTTGCACTGACTTGTTCAATTCATCACTCTATAAATACGAATGTGGGACAAATACGTTTATTCGTTTCCTGAATCTTGAAAAGGAAAGTGCTAAGAAAATATTTTAAAAAATATAAACAGATAGTATATCACACAAATTATAGTGAGTCAGTGTTATTTTGTTTGAGAGTGCTGGAGAAAAGTAAGTACATTATTTTTTATTAAATTTTAGTTTTGTACTCGTAGTTAGCAAAGATAGATAAATTACGCCAATCATGACTTTAGTTATTAGTAGTTAAATATTCAATCATGCAAAATTACACGAGTACTCCTCAATAGTTTCTTTTTGAAAGTTTTAGCAATCGGTAATATAATTACAGTGCAATCTCCGTAATTCGAGCTAATTGTTGCAAGAAGATGTTCGAATTATGGAATGTTTTCGGAAAAATCAAAAAATATTTTTAATATACAGCTGCTGGATTTTATGTCTTATTTGAATAATTTAATTTTGCTCACAGATGACTAATGCCATGTCCGAATCTAAAAAGAAATGTAGACAGTACAGTGTTGATTATTTGAAATTTGACTTCATTCCATCATTGCCGGACAAACAATCGCCTATGTGCCTTTTATGCAACAAAGTTTTGGGCAATGGCGCTATGAAACCATCTAAACTGCAAGATCATCTGAGAAGATGCCACCCTGATAAATCAGAGAAAGATTTGAAATACTTTCAAACACTCAAAGATAAATTTCAGAAGAGACCTACACTGGACAGAATGTTCGCTTCGACGTCACAAAGAAATGATGATGGTTTGCGGGCGTCTTACAATATCTCGTTACTTATAGCAAAATCCGGAAAACCGCATACCTACTATCGGAGAGAAGTTAATTTTGCCAGCCGTTGAAGAGGTTTTAAAAACTGTTTTACACAAACCTGCATCTGATATCATTAAAAGAATTCCCTTAAGCAACAATACTGTTGAAAGACGTATTGATGAAATGAGTTCTGATATTGAAAGCTTCTTATGTAATTATTTGCAAACGACCCATTTCTCTATACAACTGGACGAGTTATCCATCGACAACATTTAGTTGCTAAAAATTTGAGTGTTAGATTGCATGAGTCACTTCATTTACTCATTGATGCAGTAAACCGAATCCGAAGCAACGCGTTGAATACGCGGTTATTTGCGCAGTTGTGTGAAGAAAATGACGAACACTTTCATCAATTACTCCTTCACTCTGAAGTACGCTGGCTGTCGAAAGGCTTATGTTTGACAAGATTTTTTGCACTTTTTGAGACTATTTTAGAATTTCTGGTTACTAAAGATAAAATTTTAAAAGAAAATTTAATGAAGAGGAAAACAGACATCGAATATTTAACAGATTTGTTTACAAATTTTAATATGGCTAATTTGCAATTACAAGGCGACAGTTTAAATTTGATTAAAACAAAGTCCATCTTATCAGCGTTTCTTGCCAGAGTTAAACTAATGAAGCAAAATATTGGACGGGGCGAATTTTCTCAGTTCCCCAATTTGTCACAGACAAGCTGCCAGGAAGACGACGTTTCAACTTACGTTCAACATTTAAATGCCCTCCATTCAGATTTTGAATCTAGGTTGGAGGATATTTTGACTATGGTAATACCACCGTGGATAATTAATCCATATGGTGACATAGAAGAAACGAATGTCATAATACAAGAGGAACTGACTGAACTAAGTACAAATGAAGAACTTAAGGTTCAGTTTAAAAACGGATATCAGGAATTCTGGCTGCAAAACAACATACCCGTTACTTATCCCGTATTGTGGAATATAGCGAGGAAATTTTTAATTTCCTTTCCATCGCCTAGTGGAAAGGGGGTTCAGCGCTGTTATCAATCTCCTAACGAAAAAAAGAAACAGACTGGAAATGATTAGCCGAGGAAATTTAAGATTAACCCTTACAAAATTGACGCCAAATGTTGATAATTTATTATCAGCATCAGGTTCATCCTTCTCACTAAAAATATTGACTTATTGCTTATGATTTATTTATAGTTTATTTTATGTTTATTGGTGTCTGACCAATAAATGCCCGCATTGGGAATAAGTGCCCGCATTGATTTTTTTAAAGAAAATATATTTTTTTTAAAAATGATTCTGAAAATTCAAGGATAGGTACACACTAAAATTCGTTAATTGTTTGCCTATTTAAAGATAACTTAAACGTATAAGAAGCGGAATTTAATCAAACTAACAGTGAAATTATTATAGAACATACGTTTATGTTATAATTAATAAACGAACTCGCTTATTATACTATTTTAAGTAAAAAACTTTTTTTTATTATTTTTCACTTTTTTTTATTTTATCCCTCTTATTTTTTTTTCAATGCGGGCACTTATTCCCAATGTGGGCACTTATTGGTCAGACACCTGTTTATTTAATGTTACGTATATTTTACATAACAGATACAAAATTTTATTTTGAGTAGTTTTAATTTAAATTCAATTAATAAATGTATAAATTAACATGTGTTTTTACTTTAAGTTTTTAACACTAAACTTCACTACAGTTAGAAATTTACAGGAAATCAATATCTTCTTACCTTACCTTACCTACCCAACACGGAAAAACATGGCAAGGGATCTACGACACAAAAAAGTTTGGGGAACTCTGGTCTGTAATAATGGCAGACGGAAATAGACATTTTACATTGAAACACTTTTTAAAAAGGCATACAATGGGAAAGGATTGAATAATATTTCTACACGTTTTCTGACGGTTCAATGAAGCCAGATGTGCAGGTTTGAGTTTTTGCTAACGAATCGGCCATTTCGGGAACTTTTTTCAAAATACAGTTGAAAAAAGTGACAATACTATATCATCCCGCTTCAGAGGTAGTTCTCCTCGGTGATATCAATGCTCATAATGAGCTTGGCTGGGCTCAAACAAGTCCGATGTAGCAGGTCGTGCAGTTGAAGCGTTCGCTATTACTCAAGGACTGACCCAGCTGGTGACGAGCAGTGTTGCCAGGTAGATCAGACCAGCCATCCGGAAAGTCGCTACAAAGGAATGTCTTTACTTATTTAATTGAGTTGCACTAAAACGGCCAATAAAACCAAATGCAACTGTATTTAAATTTCAAGAAAAACATAACGAAGTACATAAGTTATAAACAAAAATAAACTAACCTAACCTATTCACTATCACTTACAATTAAATGAGACTCTTCTTCGAAAGTTGTGGCTATATTTTGATAAACATTACTCATTTTTGATCATTTATTTTATATGTTAAACAGCAACTCTTATTTTGGTTTGAATCCAATTTTACCTTGAAAATACAACACAAAAGGTCAACATTTAATTTATTTCTTCTTCTGGATTTTACATCTGTCATATGTGAAAACGTTCGACATCAGCATTTCCATGGGGAATTACAAAATACTTGTAACAATTTTCCCAATATTTGCATAAACATATCGGTCGTTAAAGTGTTTTAGGTAATTCTTTTAGTTCACCCCAAAAAGCTAGCGCTGATTTTTGTTTAAGCTGTTCTTTTTCTTCGAAAGAAAAATAATTTTTTACAGTCAGTTCTGAAAACGCCAAATTACTATCAGCAACATGTTTAATTTTTTTTCAAACAACCTTAATATGTATTTAATTTTCTGTGAATTAGAAATTCAAAACGTTATTGGGTTCCATAAAATCAAGATGTTCCAGCCACGTATCTTTTACAGGAAATCTTTTAATTGAGTCGGTAGCAGCTTTCTGGTAAAAACTCATTTTAACTTAAATTGTTGAACCCAAGTTGAATTTCTTCTAATGGTAGTAAACAGTGGGAACGGAAAAAATTTTATGTAAATAGGGATATACAAATATACAATCTATACTAATATTATGGAATGGAAACATAGAAAGTTTGACGAGTCCAAGAGATTTCTGGGGAGTACCGGAGCACAACTAATACGATAACGTGGTAATCCCAGCCGAGCCGATGAAGCAGACATGACAACCGGCAAACCGGCAATCACTAGCGCCTCGTCCCCAAACATAATTTGAACATAAATAAATGTATGTACTTATTAATAATATCAATTATTATCTAAGTCGTTAAATTATTATAAATAAATTGTCCCAATCTAAGTCGAAAAAGTCGCTACAAACTGTTTTGTTTTTGAAAATTGCCGCTACATCTCAAAGTAATCAAAAAGTCGCTATTTTTGTGACAAGTCGCTACGAATGGCAACACTGATGATGAGCCCTACTTTTTCCTCCACATTTCGTCACAAACCAGTTCTGCTGTCCTGTCTACCTTGGATAACCCGGACCACGGCATCAGCGATCCACAGGGGACCTCCTAGCTTACGTCACGCAATTGTGGAGTAAACTCATCCAGTCGTATGGTGAAGCTCATGTCGTTGCTCTTGATATCACGAAAGCGTTCGATCAGATCTTGTGCAAAAACTTACACCCTGTGGCCCCTCAGAGAAGCTTTGCAGATGGGTGGCTGAGTGCTCTCTGACCGCAAGATATCCGTCGTTATTGACGGGTTCTCCTCTTCATCCCACAAAGTTAACTCGGGTGTTCCCCAGGGATCAGTCTTGGCTCCGACACTATTCCTCTTACATATCAACGACCTCCTTTCCTGTACTCAACAAAATCCACAGCTTTCCTGACAGCACTCTACATGCAGGAATTCAGAGCGGATCTCTGCCGGTAAAATCTTAGTTTTTGTTACAGTTCACCTTCCGCAAATCGTTAGCAACAATATCTTAAAACTGCTCATAATTAACAAAAATAAATATCCTTACCTTACTCCCCTTGGATCGCTGGCTCAGTGCAAACCAAATCGGCAGTCTGTTGCATTCGTTAATTTGAGTTTCTCATTTTGACACCAGATAACTATATATTTTAAAGAACTTGAGTCGAAAACGTCATGATCGTGATATAGAACTGAGTATTTTGTGTTGCATAGTGTTAATGTTATTGGTCTCGCAAATTATAAAAGTGCTCTCCCAATAATTACCCACTTCTCAAACTAAATACAGAGAAATCCAAATATCACTGACGTCGTGATGTGTACGAGAGAGAAGCGTACAGTACGTATGTTAGAAAGCGATACATGCACCACGTTGCCTGTACCAATCCGAGCTGCGACTTGCCGCGTTGCCATCGTAGCACTCTTTCTAACGTACGTATTGCATGTTTCTCGCACCTTTTTCGTACACCTTACGACGTCTTTAGTACATGGATTTCTTTGTATATGTAATTTGTACTAATGTATTTATAGGTTACGTATACACTGTGTTGCAACCACAACTTGAACGGGATTGCATCATGCCGAAATTGCGCTGCGAAATCATCATTACAATCTATTTTTAAATGGCACTCCGGACCGCTTGGGGTAGACATGTCCTCTCCCAAAGGCACGCAGCATATCCAAAGCGACACGCGAGCATAAGGTTATCTGTTGTCTTCGATGTACCAGACACGTCATCCTCAGTCATCGCTACAAAAAATGTCAAGCGACCTCGAGACGCGAAAACACACCCAGAACTGTTATCACAACACGCTTATTGACTGTTGTAAATCTTCGACTGCTATACTACTAATGCTGCAACTGCACTGTTCGTGGACTGAAATGTGAGAAATAGTTGTAAGAGATGATAATAGAAATATAACGATAAGCGTCAAAACAACAATTCCACCTTACAAGCGTTCCAAGTACTACCCTGTACCTTTTCACTTTTATTACGAGAGTAGTATATACACAAGTTAACGAGGGCTTCAATGTCAGGATAATTTTAAAGCCATTTACTTGGTGACGTTAACGACAGGGGAGTTGTTCTTCCTTGGCGAGAGATACGGTCGATAGAACTGGGTTGACGGGGCCAAGCCTATTTTTGGGAAAAACCTTTTGAGTACCTTCCATATTCTACCGACTCGTGACATGCACAACTCTACCGTCCATTCATTATGTTAATTAGCTGTCTCAATACTGATCACAAAACAATATAATAATGGCCATGATATTTCTCAATTATATTATTATAAATTACAATACATTGCATGGGGGAACGGTAGCATCCTACCGCATGGAAGTCACACCCATGTCCATAACGAGGGGAACGGTAGCTTCCTACCGCATGGACGTCACGCCTCTTATGGAAATATAATAACTCGCACGGGGGAACGGTAGCTTCATACCGCATGGAAGTCACGCCCGTGTCCATACTCGGGGGAACGGTAGCTTCCTACCGCATGGAAGTCACGCCTGTTATGGAAATATAATACCTCGCACGGGGGAACGGTAGCTTCCTACCGCATGGAAGTCACGCCCGTGTCCATGCTCAGGGGAACAGTAGCTTCCTACCGCATGGAAGTCACGCCCGTGTCCATACTCGGGGGAACGGTAGCTTCCTACCGCATTGAAGTCACGCCCGATATGGATACCTTTATAATCGGTGCTTAGACAGATATGCCAAGTACTTGATTGTTACGAAAAGTAGCCCAGAAATCAGGATATCACGTTGCCGTGTCAATACCCAAAAGCTCGACGTTACCTCTGATTGAAAGATAACCGAGCAGCGGACAGCTTCAAGTAACAATCCCTATACACATCTTGCCATGAGATACTTTCAGACTCCTGCGATTGCCTCGAGAAGAACCTAGGTCACACAGACCCAGGATACCACGCCGGCCAATGGCCGTTGTGTCAATACTCAATACGCTCCGACATTTCCTCTGTCAGAAGAAACCGAGCAGTAATTCCCCCGATGGCAACCCGGCTCTGTAGGTATAATAACAGCCTCCAGGATATGGAGGCGTCACACCTCTGTAGATGTTTGACGCTAAGTTACCTTTAACTTTATCTTAACCGTTGATTAACATATCTCATATGACTAGCTTTGACTTATTACAATTATTATCATG